AAATCTATAGTTTTAAAAATCTGTTCATGTTATTGGTGATAAAAATCTTATTATTTTAAGCTGGGCATAGTTAGTACATGCTTCTAGTCTTAGATATTCAGGAAGTTCAGGCCCTGCCTGGACAACATAGCAAGACCCTATCTCATAATAAATTTTTTTAAAACTTACTGTTATAATTTATATATACCATATATTATATAATTTTTCCCTTTTTGCCATGTTTGACACATGTAGCTACCTCTTCTTGAGTGCTTGTTTAATGATCTCTTATTTATTAAGAAAGCAATTATACTTAATTGGGAAACAATGTTCAATTATTACCCATTATAACTACTGTAAAACGAACGTATCATACCCCTGAGTAGACCTTACTAAGGAAAAATCAATAAAGTTGTACACTTGTAGCAATAACCAGCCATATTTGTGTGATTGTAGAGGGATTGGCTTTAGAAAAACTAATTTAATTTTCTTAAGAGCCATGAAGGAAATGCTGATTTTTTTATTCTTAGTCGTTTCTTTGTTTCATTTTGCCTTTATTGTAGTAGAGACATAATTGTGATAAAGTATATGGGCATTTAATAGAATTTGCAGGATCACTGTAATCAGGTTCCCACTAGGAGGAAGTTATTATATTTAGTGTGTTAAAATTTTTCTTAGTTACTTCTCCCAATAATAAATTCACCAATTTCCTAGATAATTAAGCAATTTAATGACACCAGACTTGTTTGTCACCTTGAAATATTTTTCCCTGAAAAAAATTTAAAAAGTGCCTTTAAATAATAATTGTAATTGGACTTGAGTCTCTTTAACAGTATTGAAAAATAGTGGGAGAATAGTGCAGCCATCTGCCACCCTATGTGAAAGGACTCAGTGTTCCAAACGGGCTTTGTTATGGCCAAGGAACGAAAGCTATTCACTAGTTTTTAGTACATGTTTGGCATTTATAGATTACCTTTTCAGAAGTTCAACTTTCTGAAAAAGCTTATCATCGTAAAACTATAAATGTTTTCCCCGTGTTGGTTTGTACCATCTAACTCCCAAGTCCAAAGATAAAGAAGACCCAGAATGCTTGCCAGTACTGCTATAAGATCACCTTCATTGCCTTAAAATCGATTGTGTATCCCAGCAATGTTTAACTTGGATGAAGAAAATAATTGAAAATCTTCTCAGTCTTCAAATCTGGATTTTAAGCTGCCAGAGCCTTCTGTTACCTTCTTTGACATCTGTTATTTTATGGCTCCCACAAGTTCCATTTCCTTGACGGTACTTGAAGCAGCAACTTATTTAGGTAGTTCCAAAGATAGGTTCAACCTATGCTATAGTGCTGAACTTATTTATGCTCAGAAATAAATATATTTCAAATTTTTTCTTCCTTCATATATTTGATACATTTAAAAATAATTGTTGGGCTGGGATTGTGGCTCAGTGGTAGAGTGCTCGATTCACACGGGCGGGACCCAGGTTCGATTCTCAGCACCACATAAAAATAAAGGCATTGTGTTATGTCCATCTACAAAAAAAGACTCTCTCTCTCTCTCTCTCTCAAGAAAATTTAAAAAAAAATAAAAATTGTTTTTTAAACTGTCTCATTGGTATAATTTCTTCTATAGATTCTTTAAATTCACTTCTTGTTACTTTTTCATTTTCTAGCACTTCCTAACAGACTACTGGCTTTATTTCCATCTGTCTTGACTGTATCTGGAAATTAATTTACCAATCCACATCCAATCACTAGAGCTCAGTATAGGAAGGAAATGTGTAGTGTAATTCTTAGGAAAATTGAAACATCTTCATTTGTGCCCATGACTACCTGGCATATGGCAGTCTATGTTCCGGTTGTGCTGTACCTCTTACTAAATATCTTTAATATCACTGCTATTAACACATTTATCCTGAATAAAATAAAGAACTTTTAAAAATATGTAAAGGTTCTTTTTTTTTTTTTACATTTTTTTAATTTATTTTTTTTTATTATTAGTTGTTCAAAACATTACAAAGCTCTTGACATATCATATTTCATACATTTGATTCAAGCAGATTATGAACTCCTATTTTTACCCCATATACATATTGCAGTTTCACATCGGTTACATGTCCACTTTTTTACATACTGCCATACTAGTGTCTCTTGTATTCTGCTGCCCTTCCTATTCTCTACTATCCCCCCTCCCCTCCCCTCCCCTCCCATCTTCTCTCTCTACCCCATCTACTGTAATTCATTTCTCTCTCTTGTTTTTTTTTTTTTTTGTATGTAAAGGTTCTTGAACAGTAAACTAAACTTGTATTCCTCTCTATCATTTCTTGTCTTTTGTATTTGACTTCAGCTCATGGTTATTTTGTTCATTCCTTTTTGGCTTATTCCTGCAGTAAGAATAACATCCTAATTAAAGAGACACTGATGTAAATTAAGAGTACATTTTCATGTGATGAATACTGTCTGAGAATACAACCGTTCCTGGAACTAAAATAAACCCTAAAGATCATCTACTCTGTGATTTCAGCTGCTGGCCTGTGTCAGGGGCCTGGTATTAGGACCCAGATTTCTTGGTTCTCAAGACCTTGTAGTTACAGGGCTTTTTTTTTTTTTTAACAATAAATTATTTTAGGATCTATGTATAAATTCTATGTTATTAAGGATGAAATTTCAAATTGGAAAAATTGGGTCTTTCTGTGACTTATGCTTCCTTGTAAAGGGTCTTTGCCATTGAACTAATGATAGATGAGGTCTTTCCTATTTGCGTGTGCTGACTTTTGGGCTCTGATCTCTCCCTTAGGGCAGAGGTTGATTTAGTATCACTCCATCCCAGTTCCCCTTTTCATGCAGAGATACTGACTTGAGCCAAGAATACAGATTATTCTTAACAACAGGATTTGGCTCATTTTGTTTCTCTTCAAAATATTAACCAGATTTTTCATTCTCATTAATTAAAGATTATTATTTATTCTTGATTCCAAATTACTATGAAAACTAATATGGCTGAATTTTTAACACATTAAAATTAAGTTTAACGTTCAGCAATAAGGCAGTGAGGAGGGTAATGAAAAATGGAATTCTTTTTTTCTAGAGTTGGCTTTCACCTCGCAGTCAGAACTTCCAACTGTCTGAGTGAGGCTACATTGTTAATTTTCAGTCTCCATTCTTGACAACCTCTGCCCCATCACTGGCTGAGCTCCTGTCCCAGGTGCCCTTTCTGATTCAGAAGCCCTGTACCCAAGGCTGCTGCCATAGCAAAGAGCCTTTCAATTTTCACCTTAAGAGTTGCCTGTCCCTGCTGTGTCCTGCCTGAAAGTTCCTGGGCTTATCTGCTGTGTTTTCCACAAAGCCCTTCCTTTCTTCCTATCTTCTACCTTTTCTCCAATTTCTCTCCTTACCAGTACCTTCTTCCCATACTCCTCTAATCTCCAGTTTTTTCTGTATCTCTTTGTTCCCTTTTAAGCCTCTCAAAGCCTTTTATAGTTTCCAAAACACTTGTATATACATTCCAGCTTTATTCTTATAACAGTCTAGTAAGAAAAGGTTAGTTTAATGCTTGGGGCTTTTTTCTAAACATTGACTTGCTACAGATAATCTCTATCTTTGTTGATCAAGAACGAATCTAAAGATAGGGAGCCTGAAAGAAAACTGCCCATTTAGATTTACCTGAGAGCAAAATGATAGAAGACAGGGCAGGCCTTAATCCCAAATCTCACTATGTTGACCCCAAGCTGCCCATTGGGAGCACCAGCTCTGGTTAGAAAGACTGAGGAGTCAACTAGAAATGCATTCCTGGCTCTACTGAGCATCCCACCCCCAGCAGAGCTGGGTCAATTCCCCAGCACTGCCAAAAACAAAACATCTTGTATTCTGGGCAAGCACTTTACCACTGAGCTACAACTTTGACATAGCTGATCTATTGTTGACCCAAGTAAGAGGAGTTTTGGTGGCTGAATCTATTAATGACCATTGGAGTCCTATGGAACAGGTTTCCCCCTCAACAATTATTTTCTTATTCTTCTTTTGGATTCTTTTGAGTGTTTAAACCTGTGATTCAGTGTCATAGAATGCATTTTATTTTCAGTAGTCTGGGAAGGAAATTAAGGTTATTCCTGGGACTGGTATCAAATGAGGAAATCTAATCCAAGGGTTCATTATCAAATGACCTCTTTCAACCTGACTTCAGGTTTAGTTTAAAGCCATTGGCAACCTCATCCATGGATTTAGTAAGAGAATAGGATCTGGAGGAGTTATGATTTGAGGAAAAATACACACTTGGGTAGGGGAAGAAATAAGGTCATGGAGCAGAGCTGTCTATTTCCTATAAGGCAGTGTCATAAGAAGGAGAAGTTTTATAGAGGTAATGTGTGAAGAGGTGTGTATGTTTTCTAAGCCAGTGATGGTAGGTGAGGATTCATTCTCAGAACCATAAGATTTTATTGAGGAACACCATAGTGTCTTAAAATGGGTTAAGTAGCCGGGTATGGTGGCACATGCTGAAACCCCAGCACCTTGGGGGGCTGAGACAGGAGGATCATGAGTTCAAAGCCAGCCTCAGCAACTTAGTGAGGTCCTAAGCAACTTTGTGAGTCTCTGTCTCAAAATACAAAAATAAAAAGGGGCTGAGGATGTAGCTCAGTAGTTCAGCGCCCCTGGGTTCAATCCCTGGTACCAAAAAAAGAAAAAAGAAAAGAAAAATTTTTAAAACGGGTTAAGTTTCCATGTTATCACTGAGCCTTTGTCAGTATAGCTCCTCCACTGGCCCCCATGAACAAGTTCTTTCTAGATCAAATCATGAGAAGTGGTATAATGTGTTGTGGCTCATTGGAATGTAATCTTGAGCAGCCGTTGGAGATCAGTCCTGTCAAATGTAGAGAGAGTTTAGTTTTCCAAGTTGATGTTCTTAAGCCCTGAATGTCATTTCCTAAGTGCCCTAGGCTCCCCACTGTGAAATGTTGCATGCTGATAAACAGTTAATGCCTGTCCCTTCGTTTCATTACATAAATGGTGTCTTGATCATTTATAGGAACTAAGAGAAATACATAATAAGCAGCAACTGCAGAAACAAAAGTCCATAGAGGCTGAACGACTGAAACAGAAAGAACAGGAACGAAAGATCATAGAATTAGAAAAGCAAAAAGAAGAAGCCCAAAGGTGAGTCTTTGCAGTGGATTGTGGTCCCATTGGGAAGAAACTTCAAGTATTTACTCTTCTTTGTCTGGCTTCTCCAGGGAGTTACTATATCAGAAAAAGCCTTCAGTCTTTAATGTGTGTATAGACAGGCACAAACACATGTATCATAAATCTTTGTATATCTAAGTACCCCCTGAAGGTTTTGGTTAGTTCCCAGAGCTCTCCTATGTAGATAAATGGAATTATACAAGGAAATTGGGACACTTGGTTGGCTCATTTGCATGCTAATGACCAAAATACGTTTCCAGTCCACAGCCTTTTAATAACGGTGTCGGTCAAAGTGCCTGGTTTGAAATCAAAGTCCCCTAGCTAGCTGGCCACACAGGACTTCTCCAGCAAGACCAGGATTGTGCCTCTCTGTCTCTTTTCTTCTTTTATGCAACTGCAAATTCAGCTTGAGTACAAAAGGATACGATTTGCCACTGTTGCTTAGGATAGGAACTCATTTTTATGTCTTTTTTGTTTGGATGTTTGTGTTTGCAGTTTATTTTTCCTTGTAACATTCATTCTGAGTAAATATGGAAATTGTTACCTTTTGGTGTGTCTGATTTTGTTAATTGGTATTTGCTTTTTGAACTTCAGTTAATTTTAGACCCTTAAGCAAAAAGAATCACCAAATATCCTAGTGATTTGCTATAAATTGTAAAATTAGTTATTTAAAATTAGACGGAAAAGAGGAAGAAATGGACCCTCAGGCAGGTTGTTGCCTTTGGGGAATGAACTCTTCTAAACTGCCCTACTTGTGTGTACTTCTTTACAGGTATATGGAATACTCTGAGTCCACTTTGTTGTTTGTTTATGTTTTTGTTTCTTAATGCCAGTGGGAGGGGGTGTGTGATCTTGGGTGGACTTAGAGGACTATTTTTGGTTTCCCTGAGGGATGCGACTAAGGATTACCACCCTGGCTTTAGCAACTAACTCTAACTCTGCCCTTTTTTATCCTCAAAGTTTATAAAATGCTTTCATTTTTTATACTCTGCTACACCAAACTTTGGCATTTCTACAGAGTAGAAATAAACTGAAAATACCATAATATAAATATAATATGTAATAGATATTCCAATTACATAATAGTACCCAAAACTTAACTTTAGCTATTAGCTGGTTATATGCTATAAATATGGTGACTTTCACTGGTAGAATATTTAAAGTTGTTTTTATTGTGGTCTTTTTTGTTTGTTTGTTAAGGATGACAATTAACATTTCTACCCTTCTGATAAATGTGGGGTTTTTTTTTCTGTATTAAAAAAATTTTTTTAAATTGTAAGTAAAATGTTTAAGGTTTAAGTTTAAAAAAAAATCTGCACTAAATTCTCATGTTCATAAAGTAGAAATAAATATAATTTTTTGACAAGGAGAATAAAAGCGTACTCTGTTTATATAGTGTTCCTGTGGCAGCTTTCTGATTCCAAAAGATGACCCTTGTACATTGCCATGTCACAGGAGAGTAGTTCAAGGTGGACACTGGAGCCAGGCAGGCTGCTTGGGACTGAATAGACATGGATGGCTCCATGATATGGGTTATGTAATATCTATGCCTCAGCTTCCTCATCTATAAAATGGGAATAACTACAGGTCCTACCTGCCTGATGTCTGCATTAAAGGAGTTGATATATAGAGAGCCAGTTATCATCATTATAAAATTGAACATTAATTTTATTTTAAGTGTTTCAAATTTTGAATGGAATGAGCAAAAACTCATTCCCAGTCTTTCCCTGTGAATTTCAGATTGAGGCCAACATAATTTTTAGGCCTAAATTTAGCTATTTCAGCTACTTTGCAGAACAACAACAAAAATTAGTCAAAGTCAGTAGAATAATCTCTTGCGTTCAGCTTCAGGTTTGGGAGCAATGTGGGCATGTTAGTGTGGTGTGCCTTAGCTATAGAGGAACTTTAATGCTCTGAGTGATCATGGGCTTATTTAAGCAATATTGCATTTGTAGCTTTTGGGGTACAGTTTATCTTCATAAAAGGTATGATCCTCTGTGTTCTGTGGCTTTGTTTTTTGTAGTTTAATACCAGTTTCAACATTGAGAAATGTCTTTTTCTTATTCTTACAACCACTTTATGAAATACATCACATATTTTCTTTCTGGGTTTTTCTAAATCATGTGATTTTTGTCTCACTCAGAATTGCAGCCCTGAAAGCCTTTGTTTCATTGATTGAGTTGCTCTATCTGAAGAACAATATTCCCTTGCTGTTTAGCAGCTCATTGACTAGGAGCTTTTTAGTGAAAAAAACAAAACAGCAGTAGTATTCAATTGGAGTTGCTTCCTCACCATAATCAAGCATCTTTGTTGGCAGACGAGCTCAGGAAAGGGACAAACAGTGGCTGGAGCACGTGCAGCAGGAGGATGAGCATCAGCGGCCAAGAAAACTCCACGAGGAAGATAAGCTAAAAAGGGAAGACAGTGTCAAAAAGAAGGATGGTGAGGAAAAAGGCAAACAGGAAGCACAAGACAAACTGAGTCGGCTTTTCCATCCACACCAAGAACCAGCTAAGCCAGCTGTTCAAGCACCCTGGTCCACTGCAGGTATTAGATGCCAAAAGAGATTGATTCTAGGGGCTGGGGGTATTGCTCAGTGGTAGAGGGTTTGCCCAGTATGCACAAGGCCCAGGTTCCATCCCCAGCACCAGGAAGGGGGAGAAAAAAAGGATTCTAGAAAATAAGTCAACACTCTCCAAGAGCCTGTTGAGAAATGGTCTGTCTAATCAGCCCTGTCTCATGTACATCACAGAGATGAGATTGTCAGTCTCTTGTTTTGGACAGTGCAGCTCTTCCTTCCTCAGAATCATTAAAACTCTATTTAAACAGCCTCTGCTCCACTCCACTGGCATCCAGGCTTCCTCTGTGGCATCAAGTTCCATTTTCAAACCCCACTCATATGCCTAACGATGGCTGTCTATATAGATGACCTGTCTTGCAAAAAGAATTGGTTGCTTCTGATTGATATTTTTGCCAGAAATTTCTAGGATGTTTCTGCAACAAGATCTGGCAACTTTCTCCCTTGCCTATAGCAGTGTGGCACTCACTCACTGTTTTCTACTTTTGGGAAATATGACTGTTGTGTCCTTTGTACATAATTTGCCTCTTTAAAAAAAAAAAAGATGTGAAGGATAATTGAAATGACTATAAAAAACTATCTATATAAATATCATCAGATACAAGCTAAAATATACTTTCAAAATCCTTGTTTGGTTGTGTACAGCTTTGCAAATAATTCTCAGTAGGATACAGTGATGACTTTTGGTTTGTGTGGTAAATTATAGTGGTTTTATTAGTTTGGTCAGTGTCCTTTTTTAGCGCTCTAGTATACAGAAAGAAATCAAATACACTTCCAAACCATTTCATAAAGGTTTACTTGTTTCTGTTGTGCACAGTGTGCAGGGATGGGAGTAGGGATATTGAGTTGGTTCAGGCACCATGGCTGAAGTTCCTGGTATTTCCTCCTAGTTTAAAATGAGGATTTATTTATCTTTTTTGGTCAGTGAGAGAATTTTTTGTATCATACAGTTCAAGACCACACGGAAGTAAAAATTTGTCTTTGCTGCTTTTTAGATAAGATAAATATGTGTGAAAATATTTGTAGTTCTTGAGTAGAAAAGTTCAGCGGGTTGTTATGAGTTATTGTTAACTAGAATCAAATTATCCTATGTTGGTATGCTTGTTTTTTTGTGTGAAGAGGTGAGGTACTGGGAATTGAACCAAGGGGGCACTTAACCATTAAGCTATATCCACAGCCTGTTTTCTTTTTTTAATTGTTTTTCTTCTTTTTTTTAGTTGTAGATGGACACAATACTTTTACTTTATTTATTTATTTTTATGTGGTGCTGAGGATCGAACTCAGTGCCTCATCCATACTAGGTAAGCACTGAACCACTGAGCCACGACCCCAGCACCAATTTTATTTTTTATTCTTTATTTTGATACAGGGTCTTGCTATGTTTCTGAGGGTCTTGCTACATTGCTCAGGCTGGCCTCAAACTTGTGATCCTCCTGCCTCAGCTTCCCAAATTGCTGGGATTATAGGAGTGTGCCACACCTGACTTGTATACATTTTTTAAAAGTTTTATTTCATTTAAAATCTAAATTTTTTTTATATAGGGCCCATCCTTAGGCTGATTTATTTCCCCCGCTAGGAAATGTAGCAAGGAATAAAAGTTACACTGATATTCCTTCACCAAGGAATATCAGTGTAACTTTTTGGTGAAATCAGCATTTGTGTGTTATATTACCATGTTGAATACCTGAAATATAACATTTCCATATCTGTTAATATTGAAAGTTGTGCTTCCCTTCCCCTTCCCTTTCTCCCTGGCTGATTCAGACCTGGGATCAGAGCCTAACAGTTGTCTGTGCTTAACAGCCTGGGTGGGGGTGAGAGGTGTTGATGCTTTGCAGATGTGTGCCTGTGGAGCCCAGGCCAAGAGGAAGGAAGAAGGGACCTTTAGGTTGCCCTGCTGCACTCAGCATTGGAAAGGCCTCTGAAGAGAACCCACTAGTGAGCTCTCTGATGAGTCTGAGTTGTCAATGTTGGGTTGTTCATATTTGTTTCAGAAATTCCTTGAGTAGATAGAAATACTTCAGATGCTAATCTGAGGGACAATAGAGAAGCCCTTGGTTGTTTGGTTTATCATACTTTGATGTTTCCTATAATGTTTTTTGTCACACCCTCCCCCTATTTTTTGTATACAGAAAAAGGCCCACTTACAATTTCTGCACAGGAGAATGTAAAAGTGGTGTATTACCGAGCACTGTATCCCTTTGAATCCAGAAGTCATGACGAAATCACCATCCAGCCTGGAGATATAGTCATGGTAAGAAAGACTCCAGTAAGGGTCGATTCTGTTGATCTTGCCTCTTTTTCCCACTTTGTCAGACAACTGCAGTAGTGTCAACTAGGGTGAAATTCAGTAGTCAGCATTCAGTTTTTTGAAGCATAAACTCGAGTCTTTTTTCTTTTTTATTAGAATGAAAGATTGTATTTTAAAAACATATCCAAACATCACTTTAAATAATTATTGAAGACAATGTTCTTAATACACCTTAGCATATTTTTTAATTTATAACTGTGGAAGTTTCTGAGTTTAGATGACTATTTACTGTTAAGTAGTTTCTAAGAAATAGTTTTAAATGCAAAACACTCTGTTATTATTCACAGTTGCTAATGATAATTTTTGTATTTGGGGGTCAAAGTATCTCCCCCTACCCTTGAATTGTATGAACTTTGAATCATGTAATAAGTAGTGAATTTAGTACGGTGAATCTACCTTACTACTCTGAAAATTAATAGATAAAAAGTTTAGAATCTTGCTTTGTTGTATTTTACGTCCTTTAACAACAAAAACTATACAATCTATGATTACTAGCTATAGGAACTCGTTTAAGAAAGAAAACAAAGCAATGTGATTGACCTAAATTATTATTATTAATGATAGATTTTCGAAGGAAAACAGTAGTTCCTTAATCCGGTGGTGCACTTAAGAATAACTTAGAAGTGGTCAAACTTTACATTGCTATGAGCAGCTTTATTTCTTTCAATATGGGAATGATTTAGAATTTTAAAAGAGCTATGTATGTAGTAGAACGCTTGCCTCACATGTGTGAGGCACTGGGTTCATCCTCAGCACCACATAAAAATAAATTAATAAACAAAGATAGTGTGTCCATCTACAACTAAAAAAAAAAAAAAGAACTATGTAAGTTAAAAACTGAGACAAATAGGGCAGGCATGGTGGCCACATATGTAATCCCAACTACTTGGGAGGCTGAGGCAAGAGGATCACAAGTTTAAGACCAGTTCTAGGCAACTTTGGGAGACCCTATCTCCAAAATATTGAAAGGTCTGGGGATGTAGCTCAGTGGTAAAGCACCCCTTGGGTTCAGTCCTCAGTACCACAAAAAAGAAAAGAATTGAGACGAACATTTTTCATCTACGATATGGAATGTTACAGGTGGTCTGTATCTTAATGAGAAGGTATTGCTCTTTTTCAGGAACATATTCAACCTAGTCCTGTTACCACAATTCTAAATTCTTTTCTTGAATTGACTTAGTTGACCCCCAGCTTGATTAGATAATGAGTTTAGATATGCTGTAAGAATAAGACATTTCATTAAACATGTATTTTGCCTTGCTTTCAAACCTTTGCTTTCCTGGTGGAGGTTAAAGGGGAATGGGTAAGTGCTGCCTAACTGTCAGGAAGTCTGCATCTTATTCAGTGTTTTGTTCTTTTAAATCACTTTAATTTTGTGTAAGTGCACATATCTCTGGATGTTGTCGTGGCGGTAAAAATGTTTGAGTTTGTGTAGTAGGTTGTGCTTAAAAAGAAAAGAAAGGTGTTAATCGTCTGAGTTTGTGTGCTGAGTTTTCATTTGCTGGGTTCTATTTCAGGACTAACTTGAAGGCTTCTGCATTAGCATGTCTCCATTGTAGTTGATGGACAAAAAAGATTTCAAAGAGGTCAAACTTAAAAGATAAAATTCAGGAACTTTTTTTAAGAGAGAATATTAGAGTAATTTCCTGATAAGACAAGTCTTCCTAAGCCACTAGGAACCCTTAAGGCAAAAATGAACAATTTTATAATACACAAACATAAAAATTTCAAAAGAGCTATGTATGTTCAAATTACATAAAAGCTACAAATAGTTACTATGAAAAAGACCCATAAGCTCTCGATAAGCCAGCAGAGGGTAGAAAGGGACATCAGTGGGTGAAGAAAAATGATTCAGGAAGTACATGAGCAGGTGCGTGGCCATGCCTGTAATCCCAGAGATTTGGGAGATTGAAGCAGGACGATTACAAATTCAAGATCAGCTTCAGCAACTCAGCAAGACCCTGTCTCAAACAATAAAAAGGGGGTTGGAGAATGTACGTCAGTGATAGAGCAGCCTGGGTTCAGTACCACAAAAAAGGGTATATGAAAAGATACTTAACTTCATAGGCAGTCAGGAAAATGTAATTTAAAAAGTAAAAGCACTGTTCCTCTATCAAATGAGTAAATTAAAGTTTGATAATACATAGTTTTGACAATAGTGTGGGAAAGTAGATATGATACAAATCATTGTCAGCCATTTGAAAACAGTGAGGCAATACCTATTCAAATTGAAATTTCTCATTCCCCTTAACCCAGAAATTCTGTTTTTTTTTTCTTTTTTAGACATTTTTGAGGCACATTCACAAAATATGTGTGTGTACAGGGATGTTCACTGCAGCATTGTTGGTAAAAGTAATAAATAAAGAAAGGAAACAACCCAGTAAAGGATTAGTGTAAATAAAATGTGATGCAGCTAAGCATCACATTTTATTTACACTAAGTTTTAAAACACAACGTGTTTTAAAAATTATATAGATCTACATATACAAATTGGTTCTCCATTAAGGAAAACAGAAACAATATGTGTAGTATAATTATGTTCTGATTAAAAATCTAAGTGGCACTGTAATCCCAGTGACTGGGGAGGCTGAGGCAAGAATATCTCAAGTTCAAGGCCACTGTCAGCAATTTAGCAATCTAAGCAACTTAGACATTGTCTCAAAATTTAAAAAATTAGTGGTAAAGCACACCTGGTTTCAATCTCCAGTACGTACGTACATACATACATACAGTACATACATACATACACACACTTTTATTTTTATTTATTTATTTTATGTATATATGTGTGTGTGTGTGTGTGTGTGTGTGTGTGTGTGTGTGTGAGAATGTTTGTATATGCATAATTAACAGTCTTAAAACGTATATATAAAACTGGTAGCAGTAGTTACCACTAGAGAGTAAAGAGGAAGCTTTCACGTTTAATCTTATGTACTTCTGCACTATATTCATATTTACAAATGTATCCCTCTTGTAATTTTTACTAACACACCAAAAATAAATCTTTAACTTTAAGGACAAATATAACAGAAAATATCTACCTGGGGACTCATGGTGCTCCTTTATCTTAAACATACTAAGTTTGTAATAAAACATGTAATTTACCATAATTTATTGTAATTTAGCAGCTTGCGAAAAGGATAAAGTGTCTTAGTTTGTACTACGAAGTGCACTAGAAATGTGCCAAGTGCCATTCAACCGTATTGGTTTTATGAGAAACATGAAGGTGAAAATATGTAGTAGAAAGTGACGGTCTCCCCTGGTTCAGTAACACAGAGATTGCTTATACTTTTGTGGGCATAGTAATCATGAGATACTCAGATTTCTCAACTTCTTTGAAAGTATATATAGCTAACTATAACATGTAGCGATAACTATACATGTTAGATTTTAGAAGTTTCAAAGGGGGGAAGTTTTAAAATATTTTGCTTTTAGAAAACTTGATTATCAGACCATTTTTTCCAAAAATGAATTTTTCATGGTTAACAAAAATTTAATGAAATAGATAGAGTCCTATTCTAAATGTTGTTCATGATGCAAAGAATGATGTCTGCCATTTTCTAAAAAAGATTAGGAGAAACTTATGAAAAAGCCACTTCTTGATGAATACTTGTTAATCCTGGTAGCAGTTTAAAATAGGAAAGGAATGAGTGTGAACCTCTGTGCTCAGGGAAGACTTTTTAATGGAAGTGTTCCAGTTGAAGTTGACCTTTGATGGCTGAGGCTTAGATACTTTGAAAATAGATGACCTTTCTTCTCACCTGGAGAACCCATATTATCTGGAGGGCGAATCAATCAAACTTGACTTCTCTAACATATTGAAAGTGCATGGGAAATGAGAAGACCTCTGCTTGCTGCCATTTTATTGTAGTTTATCTTAAGAATGCAAGTTGTTCATCTAAATCCTAGGCCTAGGAATTCTGTAGGACTGAGTGCATTCAAATTACTATGGGAGCTTTGGAAAAATAACTGCTGGGCTCACCCGCAGAGGTTCTGGGAACTTTTAGTCCACATATAGTTTTAGTATTATCATGTTGGTCTGTTAGGGAGTCAGTTTCAGGAACCACTGATCTAAACTCATCTCTTTTTCATGTCAGGATTTAGGACTAATCCTAAATCTTTCTTGAAAACTGCCTCTTCTTAAGAATATTCAAAGAAGGGACTTCTTTAGCAATTATCAGCCATCAACCAGTCATTTCATTCTAGAAATTGTTTGTCTTAGTGTTACTCCTATAACAGTCAACTCATTTTTTCCTTCTTTTCACTTGGACGGAGAATTTTTTTTTTTTTAAACACAGTACTTTTTCCTACTGCACTCCTTAGGTTTCCATAAACTTAACATTTGAGTTCAGTTTATTTAGTAACAATTGACCATAATATCACTACTGTTTTGAGGGACCAGTGTGCACATAGGATTACGGTCTTGGATTTAGCACCTGTGTTGTGATAAAAATTTTATTGGAACACAGCCAGGCTCATACAGTCAGTCACATGTTGCTACATCAGCTTTTGTGCTACAACAGCGGACTCAAGACATTGCACCAGAGAAAAAGTTTGCTGACTTCCAGGTTAGAGCTTTAGAAAAGAATCTTAATATCTTCATCTTAGAATTTTGGGGAAAACCTTTTACTTAAAAATTAGCAAATCTATAAAATGTGCTTTCCTTTGTGTTCGTCAACACAGGACAGGCTGCCACAGCCATCTGGTCTGATTCAGTACAGTTTAAACCTGTTTGCTATCCCTGACTGTCCTGCTCTGTGAAGGAAAAAGGAACTGTTTCACTCCTGTGTCATTCAGCTTTCCATTATTGTAACATACGCCTGAGATAATTAGCTTATAAAAAGAAAAGATTAATTTTGACTCATAGTCTTTGAGTTTTCAGTCTAACTGGCCCCATTGCTCTGGGGAAAGAAATATGTCATGGTAAGAGTGTGGTAGACCAAAACCACTCACCTCGTGACCAGAAGCAAAAGAGAGGAAGGTCCCACAGTCTCCTTTAAAGGCATATCCCAGTGACCTGCAGACCTCCCCCCAGGCCTCCCTCACCTGCTAAAGGCTCTGCCATCTCCCAATTGCGCCATCCTGGCCAACAAGCTTTACAGTATGAACCTTTAGGATTATTCAAGATTCATTGTAGCACCTCCTTTATGACAAGGTTGGAGAGCTTAGGGATACTACCTAATGAAAATTGTAGCCATTGAGCATGTAATCATTGAGAGAAGAGGCGGGATATTATCAGCCTTTTGCCCATGGACTTGTATCTGAAATAGCTGCTATGGACATTTGACTATAGGATCAGTTACCCCTGATATACAATGAGTAATTACTAACATTTTGTAGACTAGCTCTGTAACATGATCCCCAAAAGGTAAGCGATGTCAGAGTTTTGTACTTCACTTCAGTGATGTTTTACTAGAATTACCCTGAAATACTTTGGGTTGTTGGAATAGGCCCGCTTAAATGAAGTTATATTTTTAATAATAAAATTTTTCTTATAGCCACCAGTTGATTCGCATACTTTATGTAAAAGTCCACATTAGAGCACCATGTTACAGAGAAGTTTGTGTGCTTAGCCTTTCTGGCTATCATTATCTTGTGTTTTCCTAAAATTCAATTAGCATTTTGGGTAGTTTCCTAAATCCAGAAAGACATACTTCTCATTTTTTATATGTTGACCTTCATACTTTTTCTAAATGGTTAATTTAATTTAGGTATTAAGAGTACATTTTTTTTAAAGAGAGAGAATTTTTTAATATTTATTTTTCAGTTTTTGGTGGACACAACATCTTTATTTTATTTTATGTGGTGCTGAGGATCGAACACAGCACCCTGCGAATACCAGGCGCCCACTACCACTTGAGCCACATCCCCAAGAGTACATTTTTAACTCCTTGAAATTAAAATGTAATCATTATAATGAATGGATCCCAGTGAGAATAAATTAAACTAATTGAGGCTATTGTTTGGGTCATTGTTGAGATCAGTGAATTTCTTTAGCTAAAAGCAAGATACATACTGATTTCATGACTGTCCTTAGGGATGGGAGAAGCTCTTATTTGTACAACTAAGAGACTGCAGCAGCCCCTCCCTGCCACTCCTAAGTGTTTACAGGAATGCAGCATTCCTTCTGTCTAGGGACATGCTTGGTCGATCCCCTAGCCAGGATGGAACATTTCCTCTGGGCTTCAAATCCAGTAACAGATGTCCACTCAAAAATCTCCTAACGAGACCAGATATATCTTGTATACCAGGGTCTCAAGTGGATGACAAGTCAATCAGTCATAAGACATAACTAGGTAAAACAGCTGAATTTGACTAGGAGAAGACCATGGCAAGATGTTAAACCCAGAGATGCCAGGATCCCAGATAGGCCTGAAGACCAGAGAACTCCATGTAGAGACAAACAGATTGCTTAGAGTGAGCTAAGTAGATACTAAGCTTTTAGAACTGGACAAAAGCCCTGGAAAGGAAACCACAGCTCAAGGGCAGAGCTGGACAACAGGAGAAATGGCTTCAAAATAATCTATTATTAAACACTAAGATGTGCATTTAGTATTAATTCATTTAACACTAACATATGCCAAGCAGAGTTGTAAATATTTATCAGATGTCAAGTAAAACAGGTACTGCTATTGTCTCCACTTTATTGAGAAACTGAGCACCCAGTGAATAAACTTGCTCAAAGTCATCCAGTTAATTGTAGAACTAGTATTTAAATCAAGAGGTGTTTAATTGCAGAGCCCTGTTTTCCAGCCTTACATTTTGCAGTCTTGAGGTATTTGACTCCAGTTCTTAGCTCATTTCTGTTGACATCACCTTAGGTCATAAAATGGGGCTGAGCTTGGCTGATGAACCAACTAAGAAGTGGGGGAGGCCTTGATGCACTTAGAAGCAGCTGTGTTTCCAGTACAAAGCAGCTGCCATTAGCAGTATGTCATAATACCACCAGTAAATATCAACCAGGAAGGAAAGCCTTCTAGCCATCTGAGTTGAGCACAAAACGAAGGTCTAAGTAGAAAAGATATTTATCTTGAGTTGTCATCTAGAGAAACAATTGGGGCTGCCCAGAAAGAGAACAAATCATCAAAGGAGTTGAATGAATATGGGCTAATATGTTCACATCTGTGGAAGTGTGATCAAGAGTGACAGAGTGTAAAGCAAAATTAGAGCCTTTGGAATTACTGCACTTGATCTGAGGAAACTCCTTTTTGGTTGTCTGGAGAATTTTTAGCCTTAAAAGTTGATTTTTAGGGGCTGGGATTGTGGTTCAGCTGTAGAGTTCTTGCCTAGCATGCTTGGGATCCTGTATTCGATCCTTAGCACCACATAAAAATAAATGAATGGAATAAAGGTATAAAAAAAGAAGTTTACATAAAAAAGAAGCAAATAATCACTTACCTTGATTTTTATCTAAGATTATAAAGGTTCCCCAAAGTGATATAGCAAGAAGGCATTCCCTACTTACTAATATCTTGCAGATAAGTAGAATTAAGTACTAAGCCTTGTATTTGACTTTCTTCAACCCTGCCCCAAGCATGTGCTTATTCTAATAAGCTAATAATAGTTACATCCTGTTGCTCACTGTGCACTGAGTACAGGCAGATGTTTGGCTTGTGTTTTACTGAATACTTGAGTGAATTAGACATCTGGTAATTTTATCAAATTATTATTGTTTAGAACCTGCCCATTCATTTTCTGAAATTTCTAGAAAGCAACATTTACATTCCAATAAAGTATTCAGTATTTTTCAACCATAGATAATATGTGAAGGAATAAAAATTAAAAGTCTTCTATAGGCCCTTATTTGATGAAAACATTTCTGTAACAGTAAGTACTTATCCCCCAGTCTTTCTATTGCTCATAAAATTGTGGGGGCAACTTATAAAGTAGAATCATTTGGGCCATTTTGAATGATCTTTTCAATCAGAACAAAGATAAAATACAAGCAGTACTTGGTGTAGGGGCTGAGGTCGTGGCTCAGAGGCAATGGGTTCAATCCTCAGCACCACATTAAAAAAAATAAAGGTATTGTGATCATCTATAACTACAAAATAAATATTTTTAAAAAGTATTTGGTGTAATATAGAGGCTCTGAAATTTTTCCACAGGAGAATTCTATATTCTCACACACACTTTTGTGAATATTAAAGAATTACAGGGAATCTTCTCTGCATAGTGTACAAAGAATTACAGGGCCTTAATAAAATTGATTGTGGCTGCAAATAATCACTTACCTCATTTTCTCACCATGTGTCTGTGGAGCTTTTAAATGGCCAAACACAACACTCAGCTTTGCCTTTCAGGGAAAGCAGCTAAGGCTGTGTTTTTTACCCTTGTCCGTATGCTAATAAATACTACTTATTGAAGGGTTTTAGAACACTAAATTTATATTGATTGTAGCCTTTGCTTTTGACTTTAAATAGTAAATAAGTCAAGTTGTTTTTATTAATGACTTGACTTCCTGAGTGAAGAAGCCTGTCGAGATACTTCCCAATTCAAAATAAACTCTGAGAGTTTAAGCTATGTGCCTAAGGACTTCAAGCACTTTATCTGATCAGCCATTATGAGAAAAAGGACAGAAGCTTTTTAAAAAGTACAAAGAGGAAGAGCCACTTTTCCAGACATTTAGAATAGGATAAAGAAATTTCTAATGCTATGTGTCAGTCAGGGCCAACACTTGGGGCTGTGGTCAGGTGTGTGTTATATTCAAGGGTTGATTTAGTTCTATTTAAATTAAATATTGTGACTTCCCTGTAGGTGGATGAAAGCCAAACTGGAGAACCCGGATGGCTTGGAGGAGAATTAAAAGGAAAGACAGGATGGTTCCCTGCAAACTATGCAGAGAAGATTCCAGAAAATGAGATTCCTGCTCCAGCCAAACCAGTGACTGATCCAACATCTGCCCCTGCCCCCAAACTGGCTCTGCGTGAGACCCCCGCTCCTTTGGCAGTGACCTCTTCTGAGCCCTCCACAACCCCCAACAACTGGGCTGACTTCAGCTCCACGTAAGATTAAACATAGTTTCAGTTTTTGAAATCTCAATTTAGTAACCTTTCTTTCCCCTAGGTGTTTTTATAGTCCCAAGTTATCCCTTTTGGTAAGGAAGCTGGCTCATTTGCGTGACTCCCTTCTCTGGCTGGTCTGCTGGCAAGTTAGGGGTAACTGTCTCTTTACTGAAATAAATGATACTATTGCCCAATGATGATTTACCCTCATACAAAACAAAGCCAGTTATCGTGTTCTGTTCAGTAATTTATCTGTATTTTCATTCTTAGCCACAAAATGGAGAAATATAGCTTCCTAATAATCTGTGTTGACACCCATGTCAGTCAGCAAATAATCAGTCATTTCCTGCATGCAGGCAAATAGCACTTTTTTGCTGGGCAGAAACAGAATTGAATTCAGTCATGTGGCTTTGAATAGGATAAAAAGCTGCTTCCTCCAGAGCTTTCTGCTTTCATTAGTCTTGTACAGATGTATAGTGGCGTGAAAAGGTGCATGCCTTTGGTCATCAGAAAATGACATTAAGCACAGAGTGTGTAGGCAGAGGTTTGAAAGATGGATGAAACCACTATCCAGACCTCCATTTACAGGGCTGTGACCTAGATGTGCAGTTGTCAAAAAATGTTTTGTACTGGCATGCCAGTAACAGTGATTTGAGTGAGAAGTGTTTGAAATTTCTTTTTAAATCTAATCATCTTTTGGTAGAAATACATTGAAGGCAAGGAGTCAAGGTATTTTTCTGGAAATATCAAATGGAGCAAACAGAAATAGAATAATGGTCAAGTGCAGGAGGAAGTGAAGGAAAGGATGTAAGGAATAGCAAGTTTTTCACACTTATTTTTGCATCTAAAGGTGCCTCCACATGTAATCTCTGCTTTAAAACAATAGCCTTCCCTTGGAGTTTAAACTCTCCCTTTTTCTTTTGATCTTGTTGGAAAAGTTCAGAGTACATAAACTAAAGCTTTGGTTAAAATAGAAGACTAATACCATGCTTTCCAGGATTTGTTTTTGCTGTGGATCAAATCAGTGTGACTGTCTTCCTTGTTTAATATGTGGTGTGTGAGTTTCCTGCTATGATTACCAGTGTCTTGTTTTCCAAACCAAAAATCAAGAAATTATTCTGACTTTCAAATTTGTTTTATAAAGATGAAAACGGTAAATTCCATTTAGATGTGCATTCACACAGATGTGTTTATCTAAAATTATAAAATCACAAAATTAGAACTGTCCCAAGATCCAAGACAACTGGCTACTCTCAGGATGCCTCGTGCAGTTACTGTGGTGTGGACGCATATAGCCACATGTGTCCTATGAAATTGATGGGACAGGGAAGCTCTGGCTACCAGGCTGATGTGTTTTCATATGTGGCACTAGATTTCTTTCATCTCATCTATTGTTATTATAAATAGTAATGATTGTCATTATTATTCAGAGTATTTCCCTAATGCTTCAGGTAACCCTCAAAACAGACCCAGAGTGGCAGGGTATTGTTCCAATGAGGAAATCAAGATTCAGAGAAAATAGAATAATTTGCCTGAGGATCATTGCTAGTGTGTGAAACACAGACTCACTCACACCTGTGCCCAGCATTCTTTCGTGTCCTTGTTCTTAACTTTCAAAGGCCACATAAATATACTGGATTGTGGGTGGAAATGTGTAATAGAACACTTGTCTGGCATGTGGGAGGCCCTGGATTCAATCACTACTACCACAAAAAAAGAAAAAGTACAGGATTTGTGGTGTATGGGCTCAGAGGGTGCCATTTTTTTCTTTTATATTTTGTTTTTACATTTCGCTCTTGGTGGGAAGCTGGTGCATTAGAAAGTGCTTACTATTTATGGGTTGTGCTCTTCCTTCCAGGTGGCCCACCAGCACAAACGAGAAACCAGAAACGGATAACTGGGATGCTTGGGCAGCCCAGCCTTCTCTTACTGTACCCAGTGCTGGCCAGTTAAGGCAGAGATCAGCCTTTACTCCAGCCACGGCCACTGGCTCCTCCCCATCTCCTGTACTGGGACAGGTAAGGGCAACCAGTGAGGGTGTGAAGACTAAGCAGTAAAGATATGAGCAGATGCTTGCTGGAGATGTCACCTAGAATTAAGCTTCCTTGTGTGGGGCTCTCTTGACTGGCTCGGTCAGGTTCAGGAGGCCAAGATATGCTGTGAATAATTGGAGTTCAGTGCAAGTAAACTTCTGCCTGGGTTAATCAGAGAGGTTTCATTTATGACCTTTGAGTTGCATCTTGACCAATGGGTAAGAGGTAGCTTACTAAAAACAAAGGAGAAGGCATATCATACAGGAAATGCTAAAAGGAGAGGCTTTAAGGCAAAGAATCAGAATGTGTGTAAGAAAAATCATGAGTTAATCCATTTAACTAAACTGCTGGCTATTTATTGGCAAAGAGACTGATTACAGGATAGAATATTGGGAAGCTCTGAAGTGCCCTGTTAAGAAAGAATAATTTCTGAAAGGTTAAAGGTATTTATTCTGAGTCTATCTCTTTTGCTCAATACAATAACGGAATGGAATTAAAGGAATGAAATTTTTATAAATAATCAAATCAAACCAAACAACAGATGCCCTTCTGGGAGGCATTCGGGGTGGGGGTGGGGGGTCATAGATAGTTTGTGTTCTGGAAACACCCAGGTCAAAGGCAAGCACTGGGCAGATTCATTTGAGAGGTAGGTGAAAGGACATTAGAACAGAGGACTAGTGGGCAGTAACACCTGTTAGGCACACCCAGATGAGAGCGAGGGAGGCCTAGACTCAGCTGCGTTCACATTTACCAAGTTGGGAGGAGCCAGTAGAGAGAAAAGAGAGCATGGAAGCACAAGGATAGAGTCACACACCTGGAGGGCCAGCAGGAAAGGGGCCCTGGGTGGAGAAGATCCACCTTCATGGAAAATGAGGAGGACAGGAAGAAATCAATTTGTAGTTGGAGGGAGTAGTTGAGTTTTAGATATGTTATGGTATTAGTGAAAACAAGACATCCAGGTGGTCATATCTAGCAGGCCAGTGGAACATGGATCTGGAGGGTGGAGGAAAGATCAGGACTATATATATATCCAGAAGACAAGCACAGGGGAAACTTCTCAGGGGAGAGATTCTGAAGTACTGTGAGGACAAATATATATATATTGTCATATAATCAGAACTAAGGAAATGGTATGAGGTTCAAGAATAAGGGGAAATAGAAAGTGCCCAAGAATGTGTGTGTTAGGTGGCCTGAAAGAAGGGAAAGAGTTTTGAACAGATAGTGTCACTTTCCATCTCACCCAACTCAGAATCTGACACATGTCTTGTGCTCGGTAATAGTGATAGTGACAGAGGAGGAGTGCGGGAGCAGGGGGTGATGTGGGTGACAGTGGGGAAACCACAGGGAGGAGGAACTTGTTTTAGGCAGGTGGAGGTGATGGCTCTGATCAGAAGCAGGGCACAGAAGAGACCACTCTGGGTGCTGACTGAACATCCCCCTGACTTAGGGAAGAGGAAGACAAACCAGGGAGTAAAGAGGAAATGAGTGGTGAGGGAGCAGGCAGCTCTGTGACAAGAAGAGGAAGTACAGAATGCAGGGAGGGCATTGGAAAGGTAGCCAGCTGTCATCAGTGGAAAAAGGAATTGAAAAGTCAAGTGTCAGTCGGCTTGGTGCCAGGTGAATCCAGCATTAAATGCACAAAAAAGAAGACAGGGTTCATTTTCTCCTGGGTGAAGAAGATAAAGAGAGATTGGGAAAGATAGTGGAGAAGGAAGCTCAGGTCAGACGCATGGCATCCATCTCATGAGGAGGGAGTCCTGAGGGCTTACAGGCTGTAGATGGTTAGGAGTTTGACAAAAAAAAAAAAGAAAGAATAAAGAATTGCCCAGGTAAAACTAAAAATGATAATAATAAAAGAACTTGCTGGTTGAATTTGTCCTGAATCTTGATTATTGCTTTTTCTAGTAATACTACACAGTTTTGAGAGTAGGAATAAGAACAGTACTTAAACCTGCTGTGACTATTAGTACTATTACAGTAATACTGTGCATAGATCTTATTGAACTTTCTTAACAACCTTCTAAAGAGAGTATCATCTCTGTTGTATAAATGTAAAAATTGAGGCTTTAAAAAATTAAAACAGTTGCCAAGGTATCACAGAATTAATAAGTGGCAGGGTCCCAGTTCCTGGGGCTGGGCTCACTGGGTATCCATGTGAAAAGGTCCAGAAGACAAGCACAGGGGAAACTTCTCAGGGGAGAAATTCTGAAGTACTGTGAGGACACAGGAGAAATGACTTGCCCTGGGATCCAGTCCTGGTAGAAAAATCAGGTAGAAATGGCTAAGGATTTGACAGGGCAGAAGAGCTGTGGATTAGAGACATTGAGGCAGGAGGGTCACTGCAGAGAGCAAGAATGGAAGGTAAAGAATATTTGTTCCTAGAGTGTTTGGAATCCAAAGGAACTTTAGTTTTGAGAGCAGAAATGGAAAAAAAAATATATATATATATGGCAATGTTATAGGGTATTGGTGCTGGGGATGGAACCCAAGGCCTTGTGCATTCTAGGCAAGGGCTCTACCACTGAGCTGCATCCCCAGCCCTCATAATCATATCTCAATGCAAAAATAAAAATAACTTCCAAAGGCAAAAACATGAATTGGTTCTGAATTAACTCTCCTTGAGTATATTCCTTTGTTTCTATCCATTTACATAGAAAATTGGAAGTTGGTGTTGTCCTGTTTGTTAGTAAATGTTTTTAAGACACCATAAAGGTTTTATGCTCTATTTTTGAAGAAGATAATAAGTGCCTCACCTGCCTTTCCAGCCTCATCTCCTCCTACACTCCTCCGTGAGCCCAGGCTACACAGAGCCCTGGATTGCATTCCTCTTCCGGGACCCTTTGCAGTGTATGCAGTGTGCCACCTCAAGGCCTTTGCCTGTGCTGTACCCTTGGCCTGGAGAGTCCTTCCTCCACAGCCCTAGCTACCAAAATCCTTCTCATCCTTCAAGACCCAGCTCAAATGCCTCCACCTCTGTGAAATTGTCCTTGATGCCCTTGGGCAGACTTCATCCTTCTTTTCTCTGTGTTCCCACAGTGACTAGATGGAACTTCTTTGTAGTGTATTTCATCCTGTCAGGGGGTATACTTAGTCATTTTTGTCTCTTTCTTCCCTATTAACTGTGAGTTCCTTGCTAATCATATCACATTATCTATTTTTTATAGTGCTTTATGGTTAATAAACTACTTTATCTTAAATTATTTGGGGGAGGCAGAGAGATGGTTTATTATTTTTCTTTGTAATCCCATAGTGCCTCGAATATAGATGGACAATAAATGGTAATTACAATGAATTTATGCTAACAAAATCCTGTTACTCTAAAATGGACTAAAACAAGCATAATTCAGTGCACAGCATTTTCCCCCGTTTCCATACAGTTAATAATGTCATGAAATCTCATCAAACTTCTGTTCCAGCGTTAATCCTCTAGGAGAAATCCAAATCATATTGGAAATGGACAGGTGCCCAGGGCAACTTGAGAGAAAAATAGGACCAAAATATAGAAGGCGCATAGTTAAGTGTCACAGGAGAACCATCCCTCCTGGTTTACTAAGTAGAGCGTTCTAAAGCCTAGCATATCGGAGCACACCTGTAATCCGAGCTACTGAGACAGGAGGATCCCAAGTTCAAGGGGAGCATGGGCAACTTAGCAAGATACCATATCAGATAAAAATAAGTAGAAATTTCTAGATTGCCAAACGGTGGCTCTGTGAATGGGCCAGCAAGTTTTTGCTTCTACTTTTGGAAATAAATGATTACTGAGAAACAGTGAGGTGTCCACCATTCATGCTGTGGTGATACAGGGTGCCATCTGTTTGTGTGTGTGCTCATGTGTATCTATGACAGAGGAGGCCCCAGGGTCATGCCTTGACTGATGACAAGCCACAACGTAATGAGAGGTCTTTTATGTTGTTCTACACAAGGGTGAAAAGGTGGAGGGGCTACAAGCGCAAGCCCTGTATCCTTGGAGAGCCAAAAAAGACAACCATTTAAATTTTAACAAAAATGATGTCATCACCGTCCTGGAACAGCAAGACATGTGGTGGTTTGGAGAAGTTCAAGGTCAGAAGGGTTGGTTCCCCAAGTCTTACGTGAAACTCATTTCAGGGCCCATAAGGAAATCTACAAGGTATTTTGTGTTTATCTGCTTCTATTTGATGAAAAAAATATATTAAGCATTAAAAATTGTTTGCTTTAGTTAGGATTCATGGATGGGAATTGCAGGATTATTTTGTCTTCTGGATCTTTTAATTACAAAAGAGTATATGGAATATAAAAAGGGAGCCTCTTACAGATAGGTGGTCTTTTTTTTCCCTCATGGAAGCCTATACATCCTGGTTTTCGTTTAATTTATGCCAAAAAAATAATTCAAGGGTTGGGGTTGTGGCTCAGTGATAAAGCACTTGCCTCACACGTGTGAGGCACTAGGTTTGATTCTCGCACCACATAAAAAATAAATTAAAAAAATAAAAGTATTATGTCCATCTACAAATATATATATATAATTCTGCTCTGAGACCTGGGATAGTCACGCAAGTGGTTGGAGAGTGACTTCATAATCAGTACTGTGCCAGATACATGTGATTGCTTAGAAAGCCCAGAGCATTTGGGGAAATAATTGGAAGAATGAATTATTTTTATTAGCATCTGCTAAGAACGTGGAATCTGCAAGGCTGTTGCTTAATTATTCTAACTGTATAGGTGTTCAAAACAAATTATGAGCTTTAAGAAGATAAAAATAAAAGAATTATCCCATGAGCCCCTGCCAGTCATGCTTTGGAGTAAACCAATACAGAGGGCACGTGTGCAGCAGAGCAGGATATGAGCTCAGAGCCCTGAGGCCTAGCACCCCTGGAGCGTGTAACTTAGCTAAGTACAGCCTGCTTCGTGGATTGTTCAGAGGTCTAAAGGAGAAAAATCAGTGTCAGCTGTACTGTTTTCTCTTGAGATAGGAATTAAAATACTCTTTTCTTCCCTTCTTTCAGCATGGATTCTGGTTCTTCAGAGAGTCCTGCTAGTCTGAAGAGAGTAGCTTCACCTGCTGCTAAACCAGCTGTTTCAGGAGAAGGTGAGGAACAGATCAAATTAGGTTCTTTAGGAGAGTCGAACCTGGTAAATGTGAAATGAAACGGGTTTCATCTTTAAATAGTCTGCATTAATTGATTGGTCTGTTAAACTGAGGTGAAATGAAGGTTCAGCTCTTTACAAAATCAGAGTACTGATTATGGAGGCTGTCAAAATACTGTTAGAGATGTTGATCATCAAAAACTGAATTGTGGAGCTGGGGATGCAGCTCATCAGTGGTTGAGTGCTTGTTTAGCATATGTGAAGCCCTGAGTTCAGTCCCCAGTACTGCAAAAACAGAACAAAAAACCTAAATTTTCTAATTTGACCATGAGCCTTTTGACTTTTGAAAGAAGCCCATTTACCAAGTTCACCAAGCCAGTTTGCCAAGGATCAAGTTCTCTGAGCACCCCTGTAGCTAAATCTCCTATTGTAGTCTAGTCTCATCTACATACAAGTATTTTGCCTTAAAACACTGCAGAGTCCAGTAAAGCTTTCACAATTATATGAATGTCATAGGAACCTCTTCAGCCAAAACAGAAGCTCAGTTTCCATGTTCTAAGTAAATAACCAAACCAGATTATTTAGGCCTAAAAATTTCATTTTGAGTATTTGTAATTCAAATAATTAATTGCCTTTTTTCAAGTCTCTGTTTCATGACATAATTCTAGATATTATATATACATGCCAGTCACTAATAGGAAGTATTACATTTTTAAAAAATGAAAAAAAACTTATGTAATTCAGACCCTGCTGGTAAAAATCATGTTTTTTACATTCAGTGCAATCATTATAGAACTAATTGAAAGGTGCTACCTGAGTTAAGCTTCCCATTTAGAAGTCCGAGCAGGTTTTGCAGTTATCAGATGTCATAACTTACCAATTATGCAGTATTTTTCAGTGGGTTCCTGGAATAAATTATATGATTAGTTTGCTGTAATATGATTGTTGCATTCCTAGAAACTTTACCTAATGAAAAATACAATTATCAACATAATTGTTTTGATGGAGACAGCAAACATTAAGGTTTGATAGTAGTTCAGAGTCACTGTAACAGCGTTTCTTCCTCAGTTCTTTTTATTTTTTGGTGGTGCTGGGGATTGAACCAAGGGCCTTGTGCATGCTGGACAAGTACTCTGCCACTGATTTATACCCCCCAGTCCCCCAGCATCTTTATCAATAGGAATTTCAAAAGTAATTTTTAAAAAATTTATAGGTATAACTATAAAATCTCATCATTACCAAAAAATTAAAAAAAGAAAGATCTAGGATTTTATGGTTCCCAGTTTTTGTTACTAGTATGAAAACAATTACTAGCATAGTTCTCTTTATACATGTTCATTATCTTAATGCCTTTTTTTATCCACTATTAGAAGAAGAAGGCAAAAATGCACATTTAAGCAGAAAATGTAAAAAAAAAAAAGAGAAAAAAACAATATTTGTAATCAGCATAGTGAAAAAGAAATGTTAACCTCTCCCCAAAAAAACTTCAGTGTGCTGTGTCTGGTCAGGTCTCACTGCATGTGGAGTTTGTATCCTGGCTCTGCCAGGTTGTAACCCTGATTTCTGTCATGCCCTAGCTTCTTCATCTGTGAAGCATGCATAATAACACCTAATAACCATCCCTTGAGGTAGGAAGTTATTACAAGGGGGTTGTGCAGTAAAAAGTATAAAGCTTTTAGAAAAAAACTCAACAAACATATGCTGCTTTTATTCCCTTTTTGCTTCATTTCTTGATTGCTGCCAGAGCCACTCACGGCAGTGAGCCTCCTCATCTGATAATAGATATAGAGGAATGCTTATTAGTCTTGAGACATGTAGAGAAGCTTCAACACCTGAGTCCTTGCTAAATAGTTCACCAAGTGAACCACACTTTTTCTTAAAGTCGAGCAAGAGAATAGAGGTAAATTCTGATCTTAATTTGAAATGAATAAGATTAGAAATATTAGGAAAGATTTCAGATGTTGTGAAGGGAGAGTTTGTGGGAGGGCATTAGAAATTCTGAGAAAAGGTGTGGATGGATATTAATGAGCTCCTTGTTAATGCTGCACTGAATGTCTTCTGATTTAAAGTAAACTGTAAATAAACCAGATAAATAGATTATCTATTTGAGTAGCTCTTAAAATAGAAGCTTGGGACTGGCCTGTTCCCTTGTTAGATGTCTCACCAGAGGGAGTGACTGAGGAGGACCTCACCCTGTAAGCACCCACCACAGTGTCCCCAGGGCTCACTGTCATTGTGCAGTCACTGGGCACCCGAAGCCTCTATCTCTAGCCTCCTTTTCATTTTGAACTGTAGTATTAACCTTAGCTAGAGATCATGTTTCTGAAGTTTTCTAAACATTTTGAAAGTTACTTCAAAATTCTGGTGTATTTTAAAGACAGTGACTTTAGGTGAGGATTCACTGGAAAGTATAGATTGCCCAGGATCCTATTAAGGGGTCAACAATAGGAACTAAAGAACAGTAACGGAGACCAGATGACAGGGGAAAAGTCAGAACACTGAGAAATCAGAAAAATGAGTGTATCAGTGACAAGAGAATGCCCTTATTACAGCATGCAAACGATGATGTGCTTGTGTGGGAAGTGAGTTTTTTCTTTTTAACTGTGGAGATTTGTGTTACCAGCACTGGAGGGCTAAGACAAGAGTCCTCTGTCTTCCAGGGACGTTTGGATGACCTTGTGTCTGCTGTGGGTTTCAGCACTCTCCCCAGCAGTCACCCCCTAGCCTCTGCACAGTGCTCAGGTCACCCTCAAAGCTGAAGGAGGCCCCTGTTGGCACTCTCAGGGGGTGCCCACCCATGTTAGCACAGTGTTAAGGGGTTTTGATTTTTGTGTGTGTTTTAGTTTTCGTTAGTCCCTCCATCAGAAGCTACTTTAATTGACCAATAGAGGTCTCCGTACTAAATTTCTGCCTATTAATCAACATTAACTCTGCATTCAAGAAATATCATCTGGTAGTCTCTTGAGAAACATACATTATCTGTTATAAAAATGTTCTGGGGTAAATGTTTCTGCTTTTAAAAAAATATACAAAGGGCTGGAATAAGATGAAGAAAAAGTGGAAGTAAGAAATATATGTATCTTTCTGTAAAATCTTTTCTGCTAATCTAGGATTTTGTATCTAGTCTGTCTGAGAGAAGACTTGGTTCTAAGTCTTAGTAGAATCAATAAAAGCAATGCAGGGTTCTCTTTATAATTAAAAGATAAAAATTGCTTTTGGAATGCACACCCTTCAATTCAAGACACTAAAGAATATTATTTTTTATTTTTAAGACTAAATTA